TATATATATATATATATATATATATATATATATAATTAAGGGTAAAGTTCTAATAAGAACTCCATCTAGTGTAAGAACTAAGAACCAATCTTGACCATTAAATATTGACGACTCAGATTGTTTTAAATTATTGGCATTATTTGCAAAATAATTATTTCCTAATCAAGATGTAGGATAAACTAGGAAAGTAAATAACTTTGATATTACCACATTCATTGCATCTCTATATAAAAAATTGCGTGTTATATTTGAGAAGAAATTACCTCTCCAGTTTGCACACATAAAATAAATGTATATTGATACTCATGGATACATTTACCAGAATATTAAGGGCTTGATTGTATATGAATTAATTTACTCACTTTTATTTCAACTCAAAATCTAACTCAATTTTAACTCAACCCCCCTATCTTTAATATTATCATATAATTAAATAAAACAAACCAATCATTCTTACACATCACATCAACTTTAATTCACTATTCATCCACTCACATAATTTTAATTATCTATCATTCCAATCATTTATCTCTTACTTTTACATTAAATTAATTTTAATCATTTTATTTTAAATATTATTTTAATACATTCTTAAAATTTTACTAACAACTAACCATACCACATTTTTCAAAATTAATTATGGTTAACCAAAATAACTCATTATAAACAATCAAGCCCAGAACACTTTAGAAACTTTTTATAAAAATAATTAAAATTATCTCGCCTTTTCTCTATTTGTAATTCAAAACTATATTTTCAAATATATTAATAAGCATTTATTATTTATTTGTTCCTTATATTAAAAATTAATGAAAGATTTTTGTTTATTGATTTTCCTATACGTGTGTTTTTGAAACATTTAACAAAACCGTGTAGATTTTTTCTTTATATTTTTTCTTATGTTATAATAAAATTCTTTTTGAAACCACAACAAATTTTTTCCTCCAACATATAAATTTCGGTACGTTTATTGGTTTCTGATGGGATGACGTAAGTTGAGATTTTCAACCTAATTTCAAATGTTATGATGTCTAATTTGTTATTTTAATTATTTTGAATTTGATTTTACAAAAATTTTAAATTGTTACTTTAAATATATTGAATTTGATTTTATAATAATTAAATATGTGATGAGAATAGGATTTTCTATTAATTGTTTGATGAAAAAAAATTAAATAAGAAAGAAAAAAAGATAATATAGGATAATATTTGGATTTCTACTCTACTTTGATCAGTACTTTGACTAATGGTTGATTATTAAGTTTGGTATGAAGCAACATTGTAATTGGGATATGAAAGTGCTTAAAAAAATTAGGTGATTTTGATGTGTAAAAAATAAAATTAAAAAATAGCTTTACTTTAATGTCTAGATTCTTTCCATTATTTTTTTGTACATTAACAATCATTGATTTGATAATTTATTTATTTTTTATTAATATTCCTTAATAAAAATATTGTGTGAAGAGAAGTGTTTAATAATATATAATTTTCATTGTTTGTATTTATTTTATTTCCATAATGAGATGATATGTGAAAAATATAAACATTTATAATTAAAATAAGTCTAAAAAAGGTTTAAAATATTAGCCCTCCGTGCATGACACGGGATATGCACTAGTGTCGAAGGATATGCAGAGTGATTTATTTTGTAATAGTACCAGATAGCATATTTTTTCTTGCTGGGCGAAGATTTAATATTCCTATTGGAGAAGTCATATTTTCAATTAATCCTTATTATATGTCATCATAAAATTACGTAATTTCTTTTCCTGGTCGATTACTTTTGACGTTACTCCTATCACGATGTTACTTAATATAGAGTATCTAATTAAGGAGATAGTGAATAGAAGAGGGTCATTGGAGAAAATAATAATTAATTTGAGGTATTTATTACTTTTCCTACAATAATGATCGTGTTTCCTAAACTGTGTTAAATTTGTTTTATGATTATCTTTGTGGAATGATGGGAACATATATATTTTTTCTCCAGAAAAGCTGGGCATATTTGAATTTTTGATATCTATGTTCACTGTTGCCCCCATGACTATCCATGCATATCTTATTTGTATTCAAATTCATATACTATTCAGTTGTCAAGGTTTCTAGTCGAGCATCTCTCTTAAGCTAGATAGAAGTATTAATCGGCATGCATGATTTCATTTGCACTTCTGTATTTGCAGTGGTGTAGTGATAGCTGAAAGTGTGCTCCAAGGTAGCAGTATATTTGGAAGCCATGGTAAGTTATCTTCTTTTGTGTCATGTGAACAGATTAAGGATGTCCGGTAACATTTATTCTAGCCATGTAATTTGGCGTACATTTTGAACTTTACGCATGGTTTTGTTGCATATTATTGCAAATTAGGACAATAATTGCCTTCTTAGAGTTTGTTTTAGGGCTAGAAGTATTCAATTCTTCATGTTATTTATCATGTGAGCTGAGCCTTGAAGTTACTCTTCCCCAAAATCTATTATTTCACAACTGGAAATCATAATTGCCAGAATTCCAAGGTAAATGTCCAATAAGTGCGAAACCTAAAAGCTAGGTAGACAAGTAAAGATAAGAGAATCAGCCTGCCTTTCAAGGGCAGATTATTGTGTCTTCACTATCATGGAGGCAGTACAGAAAAAAAAAAATTTCAAGCTGTTGCCTTCTATAGTGTCAAGTTTTAGCGAATTGTAAGATTTTGATATCAAATTTTACTTTGGTCCATTGGATTGGAGTATCATCAATAACCTATAACTGTAAACTATTGTGCTTAATATACTAAATATTAGTCAGAGATGTTACATGGTCTATAACATAAGACTTGTAGTTCACATGGTCCTTTTCTTTTTAATCACATGCAAGAGCTTATTGCTTCAAAGAATAACATTAGAAGATAATATTAGCACCTTCGAATGACAGTTACACAACAAGAGCTTGTGCTTAGTCTTTCAATTTGAAGAATGATGATGTTTACTGTATGTTAAAACAATTCATCAGTTGAACTTTCCTAGTTGGCATTCCACTATGCTTTACTTCAATTTTTTTCTATGCATCTTATCTACCCGTTCGTCCTCCACAACTTTACTATTGGTTTTTATTTATTTATTTGTTCATATAAGGCAACATTTCTTATTTCGACACAGAGCATTCTTGGGGTTATTTATTCCTTCTATATGTGCTTGTTCAAGTTGCACGGGTCCTTGTAGTTGGACTATTGTATCCATTCTTGAAATATTTTGGTTACGGTTTGGACTGGAAAGAAGCTATTATTCTGGTCTGGTCTGGTCTACGTGGGGCCGTGGCATTATCCCTCGCTCTCTCTGTTAAGGCAAGTTATTCTGAATCTATTGTTTATTTATAGATAAGGACCAATGACTGCAAATACTTCAAAAGAAAATGTAACAGGAATCAGTCTTTTAATAAGATGGACTTGGCATGCTTAATAATTTTATGGTGATTTGAATTTCTATTTTTGATTGGGTTTATACTTGCGTAAAATTAATTTTTTCCACAGATTTCATTTTTTAGTTTTCACAAATAAAATATTTAATAAAAGTAAATAAAGATTTTTTTTGTTGAAAATAGAAAACTGAATTTATATTTTTGTAGAAATCTTGATTGGTAGAGAAGTTCATTTGTCCTTAATTTTGCTAATTAATGATTAATCATTGTCTGAAATCATGATAGTTGTTGTTGTCATCTTCTTTGATGTAGTTTTTTCTTGTCTTCTTCATGTTTAGTCTTTGAACAATGATTCAGATTTGCTATCTTTTTCATTTCTAGTGACCAATATTTTATGGTTAATTGGAAGTTCAATCAAATTTGTTTGATGTTTTCTCTTCCTCTTGATTTATTGTGGTTGTTATATTGGGAGAACATACTTTTTTTTTTTTTTGTTGACAACATGTTAAACTTGAAATCCTATATATATTTGCAACCTCGGTCGTTTCATAATTCTTTGATATGATTTCTTTCTTGATATAATCTATAGAGAGAATAAGATTTACTAAAATGGTAGAAAAAAAAGAAAAAAAATTCGAGAACATTTAATACATACATTTTATGAACACATTTCCGAATAAAATAATATTGGATATAATCAAATAGATTCCTTGAATACTTTATTAACATCTTGAATAATTTATGAACATCTTGAATAATTTTATTGATATACATTATTATAAATTACAAATTATTTTTTCGTGATTCACGTTGATAATATTGGTCAAGATAAACATGAAAACTAGTTTTATACTTTAACCATATTATTATTTTTAACAAATATATATTTTTCGTCGTAAAATATTTATAGAAAATCGTAACAGGTTAAATATTTTTTTCCTTTCAATTGATAAGACGAAATCAATCAAGTTAGTGAACTAATCATTTGTCAATAAAATTTTTTATTATGCTTTATTTAATTATATAAACAAATAATTTTTTATATTAATTAATTACAATTTAAGAGATACTGTCCAGATACATTAAATAATTTTACCAATGGTCAAATAATAAAATTAAAATAGATAACTTTTCTTTAGAATTCCGATTTATTTGTATATTATTGTTAACCATGATTAATTTTTTTCATTTTTTATTCCATAATGAAATTATTATATATATATATTCATTGATTAGTATGCCAATTAACTATAAAGTATTAGAATGTAAATTAGAAATATCTATTGATTATAGTAGAGATATATTTTTTGGCAATTGGTAAATTAAAGTTGTTTAAATATGTTAAAAATTAAATTCTAATGTATAATGGAAAAAAAAATTGGATGACTATTGGATTAATCGATTATACAACATAAATAAACCTACAATGTTATATTTTTCAATGTGACCGAATTGTGTTGTTTCTTTTTTTACAAATAAGCTTTTATTAACAACATGTTATATATATATATATATATATATACATATATATATATTAAAATTGTATAGAATCACATGTGTATATATTTTGTACAACATTTATACACAATATTTTATTTTCAATTTCATTACAACAACAACAACAAAGCCTTTTAGTCCCAAACAAGTTGGGGTAGGCTAGAGATGAAACCTAACTAGTATTCGACCTGTGCAAAATGCACAGATATAAATAAAGTATTGTGAGTTATTTGTATGCATATAATGATTAATTATTTTTCTTTCACTTTTTTGCTGGCCAAATTTACAATTAAAGGAGTTGGAATATTTATTTCTAAAATTGCGTTTATCTAACTCGATGTAATGCATATTTTGGTACGCCTTTTTTTTGTTAATTATTTATTACTTATTTAGGAATTTCAAATACGTTTTTTATTTAAAAAATAATAATTCAAATGCAACCACAATAATAATATCTAGTCATATTATACGGTCACACATTATATGGTCAACTTTCAGTAATAAAAAGTTTAAAATGATTTTTGTAATTTTGAAGTGATTAATGTTAATAATTTTATAATTAAATGAAAGATTAAATACATAAAATGTAACGGTTTTTGGAGGGAAAATGGTTAAATTGCCACATAGGTAAAATTAAATGAGTTTTATTAAATGCTATTGGCTAGTAATTATATATATATAGATAGAAACAGTATTAAAAAAAAAAAAAAAGATTGGAGCAAAAGAGAAAGGAGCAAAAGTCACGGTTCCGGCACGTTGATCGCTAGTGTCCAAGCGCTCCTATCCACCGCTAAATCCTTGGAGATATTCCAATCTTTAAGGTCTCTCTGAACCGACTCTTCCCAAGTGAGTTTAGGCCGGCCTCTACCTCTCTTAACAACATCGGCCCGCTGTAGAACTCCTCTGCGCACCGGTGCATCAGGAGGCCTCCGTTGGACATGTCCGAACCACCTCATCCGATGTTGAACCAATTTCTCCTCAATTGGGACCACCCCGACCCTATCACGAATATCCTCATTTCGAATTCTATCTCTTCTTGTGTGCCCGCAAAACTAACGCAACATCCGCATCTCTGCTACACTTAGTTGTTGGACATGTTGCCTTTTTGTAGGCCAACATTCAACACCGTATAGCATCGCCGGGCGAATCGCCGTCCTATAGAACTTACCTTTTAGCTTTTGTGGCACCCTCTTATCACAGAGAACGCCCGAAGCTTGACGCCATTTCAACCAACCGGCTGCAATTCTATGCCTAACATCTTCATCAATGCCGCCATCCTTTTGTAGCATCGATCCTAAATACCGGAAAGTCTCCTTCTTGGCCACCACTTGCCCGTTAAGGCTAATATCACCATCATCATGAGTAGCCATGCTGAAAGCGCACGGCATGTACTCGGTCTTCGTCCTACTAAGTCTGAAGCCTTTCGACTCTAACGTGTCCTTCCACAGCTCTAACTTCCTATTTACCCCGGCCCTACTCTCGTCAACTAGCACCACATCATCAGCAAAGAGCATACACCAAGGGAGATCACCTTGTATGTCCCTTGTGACCTTATCCATCACCAAGGCAAATAAATAAGGGCTCAATGCTGACCCCTGGTGTAGTCCTATTTTAATTGGGAAGTCGCTGGTATCGCCCCCACATGTTCGAACACACGTCATCGCATCCTTGTACATATCCTTGATGAGGGTAATGTACTTAGATGGGATTTTGTGCTTTTCTAAGGCCCACCACATGACATTCCTCGGTACTCTGTCATAAGCCTTCTCAAGGTCGATAAAGACCATGTGCAAGTCCTTCTTTTGGTCTCTATATCTCTCCATCAACTGTCGTATTAGGAAAATCGCCTCCATGGTCGACCTTCCAGGCATAAACCCAAATTGGTTTTGGGTCACACTCGTCACTCGTCGTAGGCGATGCTCGATAACCCTCTCCCAGAGCTTCATCGTATGGCTCATCAACTTAATCCCACGGTAGTTACCACAGCTTTGAACATCACCCTTGTTCTTGAAGATCGGTACTAAAGTACTTCTCCTCCATTCATCAGGCATCTTGTTTGACCGAAAGATGAGGTTAAAAAGCTTAGTTAACCATACTAACGCTCTGGCGTCCAAACATCGCCACACCTCAATAGGAATACCATCAGGGCCCATTGCTTTACCTCCCTTCATCCTCTTCATAGCCTCTCCGATCTCTGCCTCTCGGATTCTCCTCACCAAGCATCTATTGGTATCCTCAAATGAGTCAACCAACTCCAGGGTAGGACCCTCACTCTCCCCATTAAACAATTTGTCGAAGTACTCTCGCCATCTGTCCTTGATCTCCCCATCCTTCACCAGTGGCCGATCCGACTCATCCTTGATGCATTTGATTTGGTTGATGTCCCTTGTCTTCCTCTCCCGAATCCTAGCTATCTTATAAATGTCCTTCTCCCCCTCCTTCGTGCCTAGGCACTGATAGAGGTCATCATAGGCCTGACCCTTCGCTACACTCACGGCACGCTTTGCAGCCCTTCTCGCTATTTTATAGCTCTCAATGTTGGTTGCACTCTTGTCGAGGTGGAGACGCTTGAAACACTCTTTTTTCTCTTGAATAGCCCTTTGCACCTCGTCATTCCACCACCAAGTGTCTTTCGCATCCTGCTTGCCTCCCCTACTCACACCAAGTACTTCTGCAGCCACCTTCCGTACACATGTTGCCATCTTTAGCCACTGTCATCTGCATCTTCTCCTTCTTCTCAAGGCCCCTCGCCTAGCATCCTATCCCTAAACGTCTGCGCCACTTCCCCTTTAAGCTTCCACCACTTCGTTCTCACGGTCTTGGCACATTTGTCCCGGTGGACACGTACTCGGAATCGAAAGTCCGCCACCACCAGCTTATGCTGGGGGACAACACACTCCCCAGGTATCACCTTGCAATCTACGCAAGCGCGTCTATCCTCCCTTCTTGCAAGGATAAAGTCGATCTGACTTGAGTGACGTCCACTATGGAAGGTCACTGGGTGAGATTCCCTCTTCCTAAAGAGGGTGTTCGCTATCAGCAAGTCGTAGGCCAACACAAAAGTCCAACACACCCTCCCCCTCTTCATTCCTACTACCATACCCAAATCCTCCGTGCACTCTCTCGAAACCTATATTAGTCGCGCCCACATGTCCGTTGAGGTCTCCTCCTACGAAGAGCTTCTCGCTGGCAGGCACCGTACTGACCAAGGTGTCCAGATCTTCCCAGAATTGCCTCTTGGCGCTCTCACGAAGACCTACCCGGGGGGCATAGACACTGATCACATTCATGGTCACATCCCCAACTACCAATCGGACTAGGATAATCCGGTCGCCTTGCCTCCTAATGTCTACAACTCCATCCTTAAGGCTCCTATCGATCAGGATGCCTACACCATTCCTACTCGATGAAGCCCCAGTGAACTAAAGCTTGAAGCCAGTATCCTCCACTTCCTTCGCCTTCTGCCCCTTCCATTTAGTCTCCTGGACGCATAGGATATTAACACGCCTCCTAATAGCTGCATCGACTAGCTCACGTAGCTTACCCGTTAGGGACCCTACGTTCCAACTACCTATCCGGACCTTAGTTGGTTCGACTAGCTTCTTTGCCCTTCGCACCCGTCGGGAGAGATGCGAAGACCCTTGCTCATTTTCCACTACACCCGGGCGCCGATGTAGCGCGCCGCTAAGGAAATGACGACCCGGTCCTTGCTTACTTATCACCATGCCCAAACCACGACATGGCGCGTCCCTGAGGGGGAGACGACCCGACCCTTGCTCATTACCTAATTTAAAAATAATTACATTAGTAAATTATATATAACTTCTATTACATATTTTCATTAAATAAAATTAAAATAAGACTTTTTATATCCTTTATAAATGAATAATGACATATATTAAAAAATTCTAGAATAAAAAAATAATTGTTACTATATGGTGAACAAGAATAAGTAAATAAGTAAAACTGTTATTTTTTCTAATATCAAAAATTAAATTGTGTGTATGTGTGTGTGTGTGTGTGTGTATATATATTAAAATTAACTTTGTATTAATAAAACGTGTTAGCAGGATAATATATTAATTTACAGGCTTAAGTTTAACATTTTTACTATAAAAAACAACTATGATTAAAAGAGATGAAAAATTGATGATCCAATCTATTGTTTTTAGGGCTTAAATGGACGGACCTATGAGAATGGCTAATTTAACATCTGTCTCGTGCATCAGCACGATCTACATACTAGTATCTATATAAAGTTTTGTACTCAAAATAGACTGTTTTCCGCAAATAAAATTATAAGGTTGTTAACAAGTACCAGTGCTACTTATTTGTCTCAAATTTGTTACTATTCTATTATTCGATTTTCTTAAATCGAAAAAATACATTGAATATTTTAATAGCTAAGTATGTAAGTAACCTAATTATTTAAAATAATTGAATAGTGTGATGGGGAAATATTTAAGCAAACAAATAGGTCTCTTGAAATTTCTTTCACATTTGTACAAATAGTATTTGAAATTATATTTCTTTCTTTTTTAACGAATAAAAGATATAGGTATGGTAAAAGTAGAATACTTTAACTTATATGTTACATCCAAAATTTTAATTATTGCATAAACGTCAGAAAAACAATAACCATCATTACATGTTATTGATTTATTAAATAGCATGATCCATAATCCTTTTCTTATGCAATTAAGAAATTACAAAGCTACTTCTTTGTTGGATTATACAATTTTCACCGAAGATGCTTTAAATTTAAAAAAAAGAATAT